GTTGCTACTGTTCATCCTTGACAATGCTCCAAGAGGCTCTGGATTGTCTTTGGTGCTAATTTATTGTTTGTTTTTTTGTTTAGCTTTGCCCTCAGCACAGTGATTGTGTATCTCAGACCAACAGAAATATCTAGCACTTTCCAAAGAAATGAAACCAAATCCAAAGGGCTCTATGGTCTGAGCCAAACAGCAAATAGGATTATGAAGTATTTTCAGACCATAAATGGAGATTGCTGGCATATGATATGCAACAAAGAGATTTGCTGTTTTACTCTGGGGTTGATAGGAAATGCTGCAGCTAATCCTAGGAAAGAAAGAGAAGAGCAGACTGTGAATCTATAAATTTGAGAGATGAGAGCTGTGTTTTGGGCTGTTACAGAGACTGGCAACAGGCAGATTAGCTTTGAAAATTCAGCAGCCACAGGCTGTTTAAATTCAAAACCTGGCAAAACCACTTGTTTCTATGGCAGCATATCAGGATCTTATTTCCTTTTATCAGTGGAGGGCTGCAACTGGATGGAGTTGGAAACAATTCCTCTACCAGAATACTCATCTTTCAGGATCTGGTTGGTTTTGTCTGTTTTTCAGCAGCAGAGCTTCCAATTATTGGCTGTTTGCAAGTGTGGACATGTTTTTACTTTACTATCTACAGCTGCATGTTGTATGGAAATAAGAGTGGCCCTGCTCTGTAAGTAACCTGCTCATGAGATCACAAAGTTTTCTTTGTGTTGTACCACTACCAGGGGCAGAGTGAGTAGGAATAATGTCTGATAACTTCTCCTTGTTCCTCCTTTTGTTTTTGGCACTGGTCAGTGACAGAGAATCCCATTAAATTACTGTTACATATGAGCTTCTGGTATGCACTGAATTTCTGTAGCCCATTGCAGAGACTCCTGGGGAATGAACCCAAGGATTTTATAATTACTAAATTCTATTTACAGATATCACTTGAAGCACTTCCTGTAGAACATCAGCACACCATCATTCACTTAATGAAAGAGTAAAATCACTGATGTCAGGGAATGGATTGGTTTGGTTAACAGAAAGGTTAAAGATAAATAATTAACAGTGTAACTGGCTGTTCCAGAACAGGGCTGCAAAGCTGGGCTATAAAGGCACATTAAAAATTTCTATCACTGAGTCTCTGCAGGTCAGCAGGAGGGCAACCAAAGAAACAGATCCATGAGCACCAGACTGGGGATGATGGATTTTAGGAAACTGCATAGAAGAAGCCTCAGGCACTCACAAATTGTGACACTGGACTCTGTTGTCCTGCCAGTTTTTTGTCTTGCTGCTCCCATAGCTCGTGGGATCTCACTCCCATCAGAGAGGTCAGTAGTGAATCTTCCATGGTCACAGCCAAAAGGACAATCCAGGAGGTTTTTTCCAGCTTGACAGTTTCTGTAAATGACTGAAGATATGTGAATATCACCCTTTTGATGGGCAAGATAACGGGGCCAGCAAGGGAAAGGAGCAGCCAGGAGTTTCTGCGCCCATATCAGCATGGGGGTGAGCTGATAAGCAGCACTCACACTGGTCCCCAGCTCCACTCAGAGTCATTTATTGCCCTTGCAGATAAATGAATTTTCATTCTTAATACCTGGTCAGGTATTTCCCCAGGGCACTGCAGAGTGTTCAGAGGCTGGGTAAAAACATGGCAGTGAATAAAGGCACCACAGAGACCAAACCAACAGAGAACAAACCAACAGAGACCAAACCAACAGAGACCAATCCAACAGAGAACAAACCAACAGAGATCAATTGAGATTAAACCAACTGAGACCAAACCAACTGAGACCAAACCAACTGAGACCAAACCAACAGAGATCAAACCAACAGAGCCCAAACCAACAGAGACCAAACCAACAGAGCCCAAACCAACAGAGACCAAACCCACTGCCAGCATTCAGTGTCCCCACACTGGGATGGCAGCTCTGAACCTCCCTGACAGGGGGGCTCTGCACACATGGAACCAGAGACACTGCAGCTGTGCAATTGCCTTAACAACCATATTTGTAATCACTGCAAACAATGAAATTGGGTTTGTGTGGCATGACCTATTTTATGTAACATCAGTAATTACGTTTTCATCCATTAATTCTTTTTTGCTCAAATCCTGTATCAATTTTCTGTTATTTTACCTGGCTGGTGTAGAGTTACCTAGGTCAACACTTTTCCATTAAATATTGCCATGTTTTGAATGTTTTGAAATTTCCTCAGTATTCCAGACTTCTTGTAATGAGCATTAACTAGCCAACCATGTCGAGTTTAAAGTATTTATTTCTTATAAGATTTATTTAATAATTTTTGTTGCAGATCTGTGTGTGTTGTTCAGTCACGATGTTTTCAAAAGCACAAGTACTTTGCACTTACTCTGCATCAACAGCTTGCCTTCATCTTATAATGTTCCCTGATTTTATTATTGGCCTCTGCCCTACCAAAGTTTATTTCCTACTCTTCAGCTTCCTGGGCAAGTTTTCTGCATTTTCTCACCTCTAACAGATATTGTGGTTGGTTTTACTCTAATTTTGTTGCTATAGTTTTTCTTGTTTCACTGTCTTTTTCATCTTTATTATGGCTTTCAAGCCTTGTTACAATTTGCTGCTGATGTCCCTAAATTTTGTTAAGGCAAATTTTATATTTTTTTTTATATATACCCTAATCTCCTTTTGCAAACTGGAGTAGTAGCAAAGTGAGTGTTACTCTCATGTTGCTAAGTGAGGTGGACAGATGTTACAAAGAGTACAATTAATACTCTGCTGATGTCCCTAAGCCAGAAAGAGGTTTAAACAGAATTAAATTATATTTAATTCCAGAAAAATTATATGGTAGAAATTAACCCAGAATTAAAGACTCCATGAAAACAGAAAGCATTTGGCTAGTAATAATTGAACAAAACCTCTATTATGTTATCCAAAAATTAGCCCAGGACACAGACCTGTGTGCAGCAGTCTGAAATCAGGAAAAGGAGACATTATTGTGCAGGAATTAGCTGAACACCAATTGGGACCAACTGGATCCCTCCTCCAACAGCTCAAAGTAACCGCATTTAGCACCTCAAACTCATGTTTTCCATGTTTTTTATGGCCATATAAATCAGGAGTGTGGCTGACCTGCATAAGACATCCATCAGATCAGATTCCAGATGGGAGTTAGGTGATGGTTGGGAAGGGCACGTGTTCCCAGGGCTGCAGGCAGGGAGCTCAGGGAGGGTCTGACACAGAATTGTGCCTTTGTCCACCTCTTCTCCCTCTTGCTCCCCCAAATGTGAGTATTCTCCCCCATCTGGGGACATTGTTTCATTGATGCAATATTTTGTTTCTTACTGTGCTGTGAGGAATGGTTTTGTAATTTTTTTCCCTATCAATCAATATTCAGTGAATTGCTTGTTGCTTCAATATTTGCTGAGCAGGTTCCAAGCCAGCCAATTTCTGAGTTTGCTTGAGCAGGTGAGTCAGGCTGTGCCTGAGCAGGCTGCAGAGCAGTGAGCTGGATTTCAGATTTGTTGCTTCCCGGGCACTGCACAGACTTAGAAAACCCCAGAATGGTTTGGGTTGGAAGGAACCTTAAAGCTCATCCCATGGGCAGGGACACCTTCACTATCCCAGGCTGTCACTTCCAGCGCTGGCACAGCCCCAGGTCCCCTGGGCACCCTGTGCCAGCCTGTCCCAGCTGTGCCTGGCAAGGAGCAAGCAGAGTGAACCAGACTTTGTTAAACCTTAGCAAAACACAGGTGTAAAACTCATCAGCTGTGATTCTGGAGGGCTCCATATCCATTCCAGCCTTCCTGCCATGGCGTTGCTGTCCTATGGAGCAATTAAATTAATCAACAATAACAACTTTTTAAAAGCACTGGTTAGTTTAAAAGCCTGAGGAGAGAATGACTGTTAATATAATTACATTTCCAGCTCCAGTTTCCAGGTTGGGATATTATGGACACGTTTGTTCCTATCACATTTGCTTTGTGGTTCAGTATGAATTTTCAATAGATGACTTGGTGATAAGAAAGCAGCAGTTGACATGCAATTATATAAGCAGTAAGATCAGCCTGGAATTAGCCTGGAGAGTATAAAGCACACACAGAGCTTGTGCTGGGTCACTGCCTCTCCCAGCTCAAGGCAGAATCAGGTTCCTGTAATAGGGAAGAATTCTGCTGACAAGAGGTTGGTCTGTCCAGATTGGTGTTGCAGCTACAGGGTAAAGCAGCCTGTGTAATGGATGGCTTTGCTATGGGAAATTGGCAGCTGGAAGAGACTGGAGGGTGATTGGTAGACACTGTCATTTAAAGTTTATCATTTAAAGGCTTTAGAGTAGTTCCTGAAATTGTCTTAAGAGCTAATCAAGGCTTTGTTCTCAGGATCTACCCTGCAGGTCTGAGAAATGAGGTCAGCACAACAGACAGATAAAGCAGGATTCCTTGAGTTGAACTCTTTGCTGATGTTCTTTATTGTAATTTGCTTGAATCTATTATTTAGTTCTTGGCTGTGTTCCCGTCTCATCATGCCTCTAAGCCACTGGAAATTGAAAAATCCAGTTTTATGCCTGATATGCAAAGCCTTGTCTTTTTGTCTCTTTAACATTTTATAAGATGCTTTCTTTAGAAAATTGTTTTAAAGCAGTGAGATTATTTTATTATCTCTGCTTAATTCTAGAGCTTATGTTCTCTTACATGTCACACTTTCAAATCTTTCAGCTCCTCTTATTTGTTCTGTGTCAGGATTTTATCACTCACTAGTGAGAAATTCCATGTAATGTGCTTTAGTGGGGGGAAAGTTAATTTGTTTTATGTTGTTAATGGCCTCTTTGCCCTTGTTCTCTGTTTAATGGTCAGTATTAGGACTGAGATTGGAAAGAACTTGTCAGGCTGTAGCTAGAAATGTTAAAATTACTCCAGCTCTGTGGCTGTCCTGGCTGCTCCTGTCACATGCAAGGACACGGCTGGAAGGCACATCCCATTTTACCTGTGCTTTGCTCTGTTTGTTTGTTCTTCCCCATCCAGCATGAGTCCCTTCTTTGTGATGTCTCTCCTCTTTGGCCTGATTTTTGGACAAGCAGCATCACTCTGTGCTCCTTCTGAGTACACAATCCACGTGGAGAAGCGGGAATGTGCCTATTGCCTGGCCATCAACACCACCATCTGTGCTGGGTTCTGCATGACTCGGGTATGGGATGTTTCTGGAACAGCCACCACTGCAAACCAAGGCTCTGTCCTCCCACAAAATGGTGTGCAAATTATTTAATTGTAAAAGAGTTTATCACAGGCAGAAAAACTGCACTGTCACCATGTTTTCAAGCTGGTTTTTGCAAAGGTGGGGATGAAAAATGCCCAGATTTGGGACTGTGGAGTTGATAACACCAGTGGCACAACAGAGATCTGACTGCTGCTGCCACTGCAGAGCCTCTGTGGGCAGTTTGTGAGGGGCAAATTATATTGTGTCACTCTTAATTAATGTAAATAACTTAGGGAACTTCTGCTCCCACTGGTGCTATCCCAGCTGGCTGTGGGGACAGCTCTGCAGCAGCCACACCACTCCTCACACCTTCACTGCTCAACACAGCATTCTGAGTTCCAGCTCAGGCACCAGGGAGCCAGAAGAGATCCCAAAGCACAGGGAACACTCTGAGCCGTGTGGATTAATTAAACCATAAAAAAGGGGAATGTGCCTGTGTGGGGAGGGAGCCCCAGTCACAATCAGAGCTCTGAACTCAGCAGTGCCAGAGCTGGGCTCAGGGGTGAGTTTTGGTCTCTGCACCTCACAGGACGTTTCTGACACACGTGTGTGACCGTGTTCACAGGGGTCTGAGGATGAGGGGAGAGACGAGGATCTGACTCCATGCTTCAGAAGGCTTGATTTATTATTTTATGATATATATTATATTAAAACTACACTAAAAGAATAGAAGAAAGGATTTCATCAGAAGGCTAGTTAAGAATAGAATAGAAAGAATGATAACAAAGGCTTGTGACTTGGACAGAGAGTGTGAGCCAGCTGGGCTGTGATTGGCCATTAATTACAAACAACCAACATGGGCCAATCCCAGATGCACCTGTTGCATTCCACAGCAGCAGATAACCATTGTTTACATTTTGTTCCTGAGGCCTCTCAGCTTCTCAGGAGGAAAAATCCTAAAGAAAAGATTTTTCCTAAAAGATGTCTGTGACACACACGTACCTCAGTGAAACAACACATTTCTCTTCTCTCTGTAGGACAGCAATGGCAAGAAGCTGCTGCTCAAGAGCGCTCTGTCCCAGAACGTGTGCACGTACAAGGAGATGCTGTACAGGACAGCTCTGATCCCAGGCTGCCCTCACCACACCCTCCCCTACTACTCCTACCCCGTGGCTGTGAGCTGCAAGTGTGGCAAGTGCAACACTGACTACAGTGACTGTGTCCGTGACAGGGTCAGGACAAACTACTGCACCAAGCCACAGAAGCTCTGTAACCTGTAAAGCTTTCATTGGGATGGGGTGAAATGTACTGCTCTGCTCACACCTCAAAGAAATAAAACTGGTCATATTCGGTTTGCAAACTGCTGTGCACGAAGATTTATTCTGAAGGTGTATCATTAGTTGTTTCAATTAATTGGGTGTTGTGAGACAGGCAGAAATGAATGATTGGCTATGGTTGTACTGAGAACCCACATGAATTCACTTTGGAGAAGGAGGAGACAGGAATGTGTGGATGTATCAGCCTTTGCTCACAAATCCCAGACATTTTCTGAAGAGATGCTCAGAGATTTGTTACATTGACATATTTCAGAATTTGGTATTTATTTATATATTTGATATTTATTTCACAGTTCACCTATTTCACTTGATATATTTCAGAGTTAAAAAAAGGCCATACACACTCTTACATTGAACTTTTAAAATAGATTTTGACACATACTTACAGCCTTCAAATTAGCAGCAGTATTTTTCCATCTATGTATTATCAATTTAAACACTGTAGGTCTGTGTCCTCCCTGCTGTTGTCCAGATGTGTGTTTATTGGGAATGCTTCTTTACATGAATGGTACAACCCCACATTCCCTGCAGAAACAGAGTTTGAACTACACCTGTCTCTGTGAGCACTGAGGAATCACTGCAGCTTCAGAGCTGCCTGCTCTGCTCTCCATCAAATGGAAAGTAAAACTCAAAAAATCCCATTTTTCCCTACAGGTGAACAATTCCCCTGGGAGTGGAAGGAGAACTGAGCCCACCCTGTGTGCTGCACCTGCACAGGTGAGAGTGCAGAGCCAGGAATAAAGAAAAGTAATGCCTGTAATTAATGTAAACTGACAACTGCTTCCTTTCCACTGAGATTGTAGCTCCCAAGAAATCACAGATACTCCATCCACACATTGCTTGAAATAGTAAATAAAGGAACCAGAATTCACAGGATACAAATATGAAATTAAATATTCTTAGAAAAATCCTGCTTTCAGGATTGTAGTTTTCATGGCTGTTCCTAGAATCTGATTCTCTGTTCCAAACACCTTTATTTTATTTAATCTGCAGCAAAACCTGTGAGAAAGCCCAAGGGGAACTGCTGGTGCCCCCCTGGAGCAGGGATTTGGACAGGATGAGCTCCAGAGGTCCCTTCCAACCTCAACCAACCCATGGCAACTTGAATATCTGTCACAGATTCTATACAAGGTATGAATTCCAATTATATGTGCATTATTTGGTGATAAAGAAATACCTTCACAGGCAAAGTTTAAAGATTTAAATATTCCAAAAACAAGTTTGAAATTTGCAGAAAATCCAGAGCATCTGCAGGAGCAGCTCTACTTCTGTAAAATGGATCCCTTACACCTATGGTTTAAACAACCCACTTATAGCTAATTTTATAGCTGATTGGGTACAAGACTATTTCTAAAACTCTTCAGAGCAGGAGAGGTTAGTTACAATTAAATTACAAATACTTTCTGGTGATGAGAATCTGGTATTCCCAGCCCCTTCTGTGTATCACATAGATGAGCTGTGATCTCCCAGGCTCTCCAAGGAAGAGCTGCAACATGAACTGCTGCTGTCCAGTTGATGAAGAGCACAAAGCAGCCCTTATGGTATCTGGTAAATGCCAAAGAAACAAAGTGTTCAGCTTGAAGATAAGCCAGAGCTTTCTCAAGGTGTCTGGACTGTTAAAAATGTTATTTAGCACAGGAAAATATAATTCTGTTTACCATTAAGCAGTACTTGTACTTAACAAAATAAAAAGAGAGTGCTTGGCTATTTAGAGTATCAGCAGCACTGCTAAGTTATTGTAATGTCCTTTATGGCCTGGCAGATTTGTCTTCAGTACAAACAACACCCAGGTCTACTTTTATGGTTAATGCCTATGGAAAATCATTGAGAGAAAATAACTAATGTGCCTTCTTTTACACTTTAGGAAACCCCAAACTGAGACGTTTGCGTTGTGCTAACATATCTATTTAACCATACACTTCCATGCCCTCCGAGGACTGTGTTAAGCAGTTTTCATGTTCAAGTTTAAGACCTCCAAGCCCAGTGATAAATCCCTGTTCAGGCGATGATTCCTTTCATACATGTGTTTGTTACCTTGCGTTTATCCCAGGACGGTTTCCACACAACTCAGCGATGGATTTGCAGGCAATCCAAACATCCTCACCCAGGGTCCGTCCCTCAGCCCGGCTGGGGAGAGCACAGAACGGGCTGGGGCTGGAGCCGCGGCTGCTCCCGGCGCCCCGGCCCGCTCAGGTGCTCGGAGAGCCACAAACTCGGACGCATTCACACGTGGAGCACGGAGAAGGAGAATCAGGAGAAGGAAAAGCAGAAGAATCAGGAGAAGCAGCCCGCGCTGCCCCCGGTTGCCACGGCAGAAGGAGCGGCCCGCGCTCCGCACCCGCGGGGGCTGCGGCGACACCCCCGGCCCGCAGGGGGCGCTGTGCCGAGGGCTCTGAGGGGCGGCCCCGCCCGTACCGGCCCCTGCCCGCCGGGGCCGCCGCTGTTCCCTCACGTAAAGCGGCATGGGAGGCATTGGAGGGAGGGATTCTGCCACTCTGCCCTGCTCAGGTGAGACCCCGCCTGCAGAGCCGCCTGAGCCCTGAGCGCCCAGCACAGGAAGGAGCTGGAGCCAGTCCAGAGGACCTAAAGGGAGGATTAGAGGGATGGAGCTGGGAAATTGGAATTGTCCAGCCTGGAGAAGAGAAACTTCGGGGTGACCTTATTGTGGTCTTCCAGTACCAGAAGGGAGACTACAAGGGGGAGTGGCTTCACACAGACAGTAGGTTTAGATTGGATACTACGAAGAAATTGTTCCCTGTGAGGGTGCTGAGGCCCTGGCACAGGTGCCCAGAGCAGCTGAGGCTGCCCCGGGATCCCTGGAAATGTCCAAGGCCAGGCTGGATGGGACTTGGAGCAACCTGGGAAGAGCTTTAAGGTCCCTTCCCGCCCAAACCATTCTGGGATTGTGGCCCCGCCCCTCCCGCAGTGCGAGCAGCCAATGGGGAGCGAGCACCACCTACAGTGGGCGGGGCCTCACGGGCACGCGGGTCCCTGAGGGGAATTCCGGCGGTGCCGGGTTTGGATGCCGGAGGGTCTCGGTCGCGATCTTAATCCTAATCCCAGTCCCCATCCTAATCCCACTCCCGGTCCTAATCCCAGTCCCGATTCTAATCCCAGTCCCGGTCCCCAGCCCGGGGCCCTGCCTGCCTCGCTGGCCGAGGGCTGCCCCGTCACCTGGAGCCCGCCGGTGTCCTGGCTGCCGTAGGTGAGGGGAGGCAGCCCCGCGGTGCCCTCAGGGCCTGGGGGGCTCTGACCGCGCGGATCGAGTTCTCTCCGGGAGTCGTTTATTCCAGGTTATTTTTATTAGGAAGTTGTTTCAAATTCAAGACACACAGCCGATAAAACGCCACTTCGGAACACATCATAGGGAAGTGAAAGCGAATTTCAGCCACAGAGTTAGGTTTGTTTTCTTTCAAAGCAAGAGGTAATTCTGCCACAGATTTGGCAACATGAACCGAAATGCCAGTTCTGTCCAAAATCAGAATTTATGCTGTGCCATACACATTATCCTGGATGTGGTTAGTGTTTTGGAGAACCTCGTGGCTGGAGCACCAATAGAGAGGAAAAAAGATTGAAAAGCTTTATTTATGTACATTTTCTATGAACAGCATCCACTGCTGTTAATCCATAGCCTGCAAAGGCTGTGCAATACAGCATTTGAGGGCTTAAGACAACTCCATTTCTTTTTCAAGACACATGAAATGTGTTTTGTTATAAAACTATCAGTATCAAGACAAGTGAAATACTACTCTTCATTGTAGGGAAGTCACAGGGCTGAGCTTCATCAGCTGCTGTGTGATTTCTGAGAGGTACCAAAACTGGCTGAGGTTTCCCTGTGACAAAGGAAGCTCCCACTGAAATCAGTAACTTAGAAAAATTAGACAAGGGAAATGTGAATAAGGATGTTTAGAGACACAGTAAGGGCATCAACCACTTACATGTTTATGCTGTAGAACAAACTGACAGGAGAACAAGAAAACGTGTGTGATGTGCTTTTAAAATTCTATCACCTGGAGGGATCTGATCTTTTGTCACTTTCCTCTGACACAAGTGCAAGGGACAGGACAAATGGGTATTTTTGCTGCCTTATGTAGCATGAAAAATACCTTCAATTACTAAGATGCAGAGAAAACTGCAATTACATTAAGCACCTCACAACAGCAGGAAACCACAAAAGACCTTTATCCCTGGATTCTGTTAAAGGCACTAGTATATGAATAACATGTTGATTTCCAGCTTAATTTATACCAATAACTTAGAGAACTAAGCCAGAAACAGGTATTGTCCTGTTCCTGGTATGCAGTGCAAGTATCCCCTAAACCTAAATAACTGCAACCCTAGAGCTTATGCAGGAATGCTCAGAAAATTAATGCTTTCTTTAGAGGAAGAAAAAAACAAGTCACAAACCCAAAACACTTCAGCAGAAAGTTTGGTGGCTCGAGTCTGAATTTATAGAAGGTTTTTTTCTACCACTTTTTCCTGTTTTTCCTAAGGCACTGGGGTGGTTTTGTACTTCTGGGGGAGTGGAGGGCTGGGGAAGCAACAGCAGGTTCTGCAAGCTGCCTTGGCATTCAGTGCATCTCCAAGCAGGAGTGGGCATCTTCCAAGGAATCTTACTTAAGAAATAATAAATAAAAATATGAACTCTGGTTCTGTCATTACATTCTGGTGCTATGAGTTTGAGGAATGTGTAGATGTGTTTAAAATGAATGGAACACTGTCATTATGAGGGGGAATGTAACACAAGGAAATTGCTTTATGTGCAGTCAGTTTCTATCCCTGTAGGACAACAGTCCTTGGAACCTGAACCACTGGCTCTGGTGCTGTTTTTACTGATTTTCCTGGAAAGCTGGCTTGTCCTGAGTGGCAACAATGACACTCCACAAGAGTTCCTTCTTTCTGCCAGTACTACCTTGGGACAACACACCCCAGGCTGGGCACTACCCCATCATCTCCTCAGAGCACAACCACTGCAGGGACAGTCTCAGGGACACCTGGAGCCAGGAAATTGCTTTGCTGGCTGCTGTGTTCAACTGATTCCTAAGGTTCAGCTTGAGACCCTCATGGATTTGCTGCCACTGCTGTCTTGGGAACAAGCAGCAGATCGGGGCCCTGTTTCCTGTGCTGATTCTTGCAGAATGAGGTCCCAGGCCCTGTTTTTAATTAACATCCATTGCTAATCAGCTGTGACAGAGTGACACAAGCCTCACTCTTTTCTGGTGTGTGATTTCATGTGTCCCTGCCAGCCTAAAGCTCAGCCTGGACACAGCTCAGCCAGCAGTGCCTGCCCTGCCCAGCTCTTAGTGCAGTGCCACAGCTCGTGGTTGGATGGTTGGAAAAGAGAAATCCATGTAAGAGACAGCAAGATGTGTCAGCTAAACCAGAGACTTGGAGCAGCAGCACTACCCCAAGTGCTGAAGTGACAGAAAACTGATGGGAGTTTGAGTTTCTTTGGGGAATAAGAGATAAAAAACAAATAACAGATAAAGGGTGGTATATCCCACACAACATGTAACATAATTCCTGAAATCCCATTTTGTTCCTGTGTTTCAGCAGAACAAGGAGCCCATGAATTGTAAATTCCAAGGCCTCTCAGACAATTGGAATGTGTAGTTTCACTGAACTTCTCCCCAGCATGGATGGAACAGCTGCATCAGGAATCTGAACTGGTGATCACCAGATCTGCTGCCATGGGGGTGTAATTAGCAAAAAGCTGTTCTCTGAAACTGTCAATTATCTTGATTAAGCCAAAAATAAAGAGATCCTGAGCCTTTGATGTAACTTCTTTTTCTGGGGACAACCTTTCTCCCTTCTAGGCTGGTTCAAAAGGAACATTCTCTTATGAATAAATATGACAAATAGAAAAATTAAAATCTAGAAAAAAACAATGTAAACGCAAGCCCTGAGGTATTTCAAGCACACAGTGTAGTTTTTATTCCTGACAATCTAATTTATACCTATGCAACCTAAAGGTGCCAGTAAGAGAACTTACTGCATGGCTCTGTAAAAATGTCCCATCTTCCTTTCCTGCCTTCTGCCCCAGGAAGGGACAAGAGGTTGAGGTAAGAGCCCCATGGAAGCTGTGATAGTCACAGAAGCAGAAACTGAGGATATTAAAGTGCTGTGTGTCTTTTTCTGACCGCTTTCACTCTTTGTTTGGCTTCCACAGGCCAGTCAGATTCTCCAGAGATCTGACAAAGGAGCTGCTTGTCTGGACCTGGGCTCCACTCCTGCTCCAGTCTGTAGCCACAGTGAGGCTTTTGGGACAAATGTGGATTTTAGTGGCCCCCTGAACTCACAGCTGGGTTTTTTGGTGTATCTCAGCCTAGCTTGGGAAGCTTAAGCACACTTTGCACTGCAGTTGGTCCCAAATGACTGCCTGGTCTTGCCAGCTTCCCACCTCCTTCCCCCTCTTCCTTTAGCCTGGATCTCCTTGGATGTGTTTTCTCCCCCAGAGCTTTCTGCATTTGCATGAAGGGTCCAGTCCTACAAAAAATGAACACCCAGTCTCTGCATGACAGTGAAGTCAGTGGGTCTACTCTTCAAGTTTGCTGGAGCAGACCCTTAGGCATTAATTGTTTTTTTTTTTTAATAAAGTACAATTTTATTAGTTCTGCTCTGTTTGGGCTTTGGAAAATAAAGTCACAACATGGATCATAGGTCTTTTTACAATGGCATTTGTGCCTCTGCTAATTCTTGGCACACAGGGGCTCAGTGTGAGGGGGTCTGAGCACTGTGTCCCTGGGGGATGTGCACACACATCTGTTCCATCTGCAGATGTTTACCTGGGCAGCTGCTGCACATCCAGGGACCTGCTCACATCCAGAGGTGTTTGTAAGGAGACACATGCATGCGCTTACATGTGTAAACTCTTAATTGCACATATACAAACATTAAAAATCAAATTAGTCTTTGATGCACCTTTGCTCTTTTTTTCATTAAAAAGGACATTTTAAACCCCTTTTTTTGTTCACTTCAGTTTTACTGTAACTAATACAATTCACCTGATCACCTAACAGGATATTTTCCTCTCAGTATGTTAAAACACTGATTAAAATGCATTACAATTATTAAATTGGGTAGAAGAGCACTTCTTGTAAGCTTAGTCTGGAACTCCTGGGGCAGAGTTGTGCAGTGACAGTTTTAGATCATTTCTCTCATGTTACGGATGGTACAGCACAGAACCATGCTGAAAATCATGCCAAAGATCTAGAAGAGAAGGGATGTGATTTAGGGATCCACTTACAAAACAATTATAAAACAATTTGCATATCAGACAATCTGAAGGTCCCTGTGGCAGAGTAGTGACTGCTTCCATCTACAAACCCCAAAACATCAGACAATAAACATGGAGGAGGTTTCACTGATTTTATCACACTGGTTTCACTGTTCTTTGTTCTAAATGTCCAGCCAAGGCACAACTGCCTCAAATATTAATGTTGCTAACATCAATTTAAATCACATAACAACTGGTGATATTAATATTGGTGGTATCCTGGTATTTCACTGGAGTGTTCTGAATTTCAGAATGCTTCTACATGGAATAGGACACACATTAGAGTGAGAGCAGAGGGTGATTGCAGAGCCCTGGAGCTGGTGCTGAGCTCTGAATAGTTCCTGTGCTCAGGAGCAAGACTGTACATTAAGTATAAGACTATATACATTAAATCTAAACCCCCATTTGTGTCAGGGAGCTTGGTCAGCAGAGGGAATGATAAAAGCAGAGAACAGTGGGTGTGCTTTCTGCCACAGGTCAGTTCTCCACAGCTGCTGCCTCCTGAGCCTGCACTGCTTAGGGTCCCTAAGGATGGGCACAGCTGAGCTCTCACAGCCCAGCATGTGGCAGAAAAAGCACAGAGAAAGGTGCAGGTGCATTTCTGCTGCTGGAGAGGTCGTGGTCACTTCAGGACACACATTAGAGTAAGGGCAGAGGGTGATTGCAGAGCCCTCAGAGCTGGTGCTGAGCTCTGAATAGTTCCTGTGCTCAGGAGCAAGACTGTACATTAAGTATAAGACTATATACATTAAATCTAAACCCCCCCCCTCGTGTCAGGGAGCTTGGTCAGCAGAGGGAATGATAAAAGCAGAGAACAGTGGGTGTTGCCAGAGCTCTGCTTTCTGCCACAGGTCAGTTCTCCACAGCTGCTGCCTCCTGAGCCTGCAGTGCTTAGGGTGTGAGATGGGCATTAAAGCACTGGGTTCATGTCCCTAAGGATGGGCACAGCTGAGCCCTCACAGCCCAGCACGTGGCAGAAAAAGCACAGAGAAAGGTGCAGGTGCATTTCTGCTGCTGGAGAGGTTGTGGTCACTTCAGGACCTTTGCTGTGTCTGAGGTGGGGACCCAAGGGGAGATGATCCCAGTTCTGGTGTGTCCTTGATGTTACTGATCTCTGTCCCACCCCCAGTGTATTTTTGAGTCCATTCCGGTTTCATGCAAACCCCAGGATTGTTCAATATGCACAGCATGGTTTCTGTTACCTGCAGAAACCCTTCAGCTGCTTTTCAGTGTCCACTGTGAATGTCCTGCTCTTCCCAGCAGCTAAGGCAGTGTTTCTTTACTCATCCTGTGGCTCCTCATGCTACTGATGTCTGACTGAAGGAAATCAGGGCACAACTGAGCTGGAAAAGCTTTGTGCTGAAGCCTGGGGAGCCCCAGCCTGCTGGTCCTGCTGTGTCCTTGGGACAGGGTGACATCTATTGGTCACAGCTCTAGTGGCTACTCTCTATTCCTCGTGAAAACTAAGGAATGTGTCCTAAAGGATTGAAAGCATCAGACTGCAGTTGTTTTGGAATACAGTAAATGCTGCTACAGCTTTTTGCTTTTTAGTTTGGTTCATGCGCACTCTGCTCTGACAACAAAAGAAGATTACCATCACTTTGGACCCTGTCTAAGGACACAAAATGAACTTGAAAAGCACAGTCACAGAGCTCTGCTTGCACTGATGGGGGCAATTCCCAGGGAGAAGACACACTGGAAGCAAGAAGAATTGAGGAATCTCGCCAGATGCTGCAAAACACCTTCCACAAATCTTTGAGTAAGGGGCAGGGTACTGGGCTCAAGGAGAGACTGGAGAAATGGATTTACTCACTGTGATGCTAGCAATTGCAATTCCAACAATTCCAACTAGGCGCAGCTGAGTATCAATTACATTCTGAATTTCAGTCAGGCAGTTCTGTTAAAAACAAAATTAAAATATTTGTTTATGTTTCTATAAAATCTATATTTCAATCAGTTCTATCAGCTGTTCTCACTGAGCAACAAATAAACACAAAAATATTAGTGCAGTCACCATCCTAATTCCTGCATCTAAACCTTGGGTTTTGCTGGATAATTTTCCAGCATCTTCCCTTTCCTGGTGAGGCATCTGTACCTCTTGCCTGGAGAGGCTGACACATGCAAGTAATTTTCTTACACTCAGTTTTCTCCCTAAATTTAAACTCCTTTATATAACAGGCCATGCTAAATCAGGAGGTTTGGTGCTTCATTTTGACATTGAACTCACAAGCAGATTCCAGAAAAGACAGAAATGACAGAAATATCTTTCTTGACACCAGTGAAGTTTCTAGTCAGGAGGCTCCATGCATGACTAAGGTGGGCACTTCCTAAAATTCAATTTGGGATTTGGGATTTGGGATCGTGTTCTGTTCCCTCCTTCTCCCTGTTCCTTTCAGATGGTGCAATATTGTCTCAGCTACCATGGGATGCCACAAACATGTGTCATGACTGAGGGCATTATGACCTCCAGCTTAATTCTGCCTCCACTCTGCTCCATTCCATAAAGAATTTCATGCTGGAATTTGCAAGGTAAAAAGAACTTCTTCCTTTCTTTTGCTCACAGAATGCCTCCAATTTTAGTAAAGACCTGACATGAAGAAGTGATTAGAACAAGCAGGACAGAGGACACTTGCCTTTGGCAGCTGGATGTTCTCTGGACAGGGCAATCCTGTTTGTTGTTCCACATTACCTTTACCACAGCACTGGAGCTGAAGGAGAGAGAGATGGAGGATCAAAGAGGGGAAACCACAGACCACATAATGAAAATCAGTTGTTATTTTGTCCTGGTTTAGGGACATATTTTCATACTGAAAGTGAGACAATAAATAACTAAAAAAAAAAGAATCTGTACAGATCAAATAATAACCTTATTCTCTATATTTAAACTGCTGCCCCTGGTACAGTTCCAACTGCGTGGGACAAAATTCTCAAAAATTAGTTTCAATTGTGTGAGGCCACAGCAAACACCAAATTTGTATTAACAACAATGACCAGAAGAGATTTTTATTACAGTATTTCATAACAAAGCAAACAAGTGGATTTGGGAAAAGCAGATCCCTGGCTTACAAGAAAACAGGAGTTAAAGGGAGAATGCAGAAAGTTCAAACATCACATACAGAATTATGGTCAATGCACAAAAAGTACAGCAGAGAATGCTGGAATTTTATTTCTGACACAACATCGTGCTGGGTTTGGAGACAGTAATAAATCAGAGTTTCAGAGGGTTTGTTTTTCCTGTTTGCCTATCTCCCACAAAATGCTTGGAATTCCTCTTTGGGTCAGAAATAAGAGCTATGGGAGAAGGACAAAAGGGTCTGAGGTTGTGAAATGTTTGTTCTAAAGAACGTGGGAATTGCTGTAAGGAGCAGCAAAGCTTGGGCTTGCTCTCCATGGGAGGCAGTGTAGATCCAGGATGGACACAAACAGGATTACAGAAGTCACAGGTTGTAACTCTGATTCAGACATTCACTTTTTGGGTGGCCTGAACTGTGTCACACATGTGTGGTCTCTCACTGACTTGGTTCAGCCACACTGTAGGTCCTGGGACACAGGTCATGTTTTCTCTGACAGATGCAGAGGAATGCAGACATTTCTGTCTCTGCATTTGCAAGTATTTATCTGTGGATTTCAATATCCACAAGGGTCATTTCTTCTGCACACACAGACCAGAAGCATCAGAAATTTCAAAGCCTGGCTAATTGCACTTTCAAATGTAGAGATCCTAAAACCCAGAATTCTGACAAAGCCCTCAGGAAACTCAGTGTTGTGAGCCTCTGGCTGGATTTGAAGTACATTCAGTACTATTTTGGCATCCCTCAGGGGGAGGAATTCTGGATTCTAAGGGGCAGTGTGGCACTGGAGGGAGCTGTTGGGGTGAGGAGTACTCACAGCCACGTGGTAGCGATAGATGGTACTGTTGACCTTCCCCACTGGGTTTTTCATGTAGTCCTCATAAGCATCTTCATAGATTTTCTGGGCTTCCTGTATTGCCTGCAGAAATCAGACTTTTAGTGAGTTGCAAATCAATCTTACCCCCCATCCAAGACTTTCACTTTGTGTCCTCAAACTCCAGGGCAAAAGATTGTGCCTGGTAATCAGGTATGGTGACTGAAAAGCCAGGAGGGTTTGTGGCCTGGTGGCATTCAGAGGGTCAGAGTGTTCATAGGCTGTGTTCTGTGCTTTGGTTAAACACTCTGAGTTAGGGAAATTCAGTGCCTGAATTTGTTTGCCCTTCTCCCAGGCAATGCCCTCCTTTCATACAGCTCCCCTTGATGTTCCCTCAAGGCTGAACCACACCTCCACCTTTTCCTGAACAGAGGAGGCAAAAACTTCATCCTGTTCCAAACTTGTGATAACACAAGCTGTCATTGGCTCCAGATAAGAATGTCAGAGAGTTTTGCAGGGAAAAATCTCCTGGAAAGCTTTCCTATGGAAGAGCCAGCTCAGTGGGCACTGGAATCCATAACTACCCCATCATTACATCAGAGGCTGTTTGCTACTTACCACTTTCTTGCCTATGAAGGCGAATACTCCAGCAGTGACCTCACCTGCAAATATCACCAACAGGCAAGCAAAGAACTGCAGAGGAAGGAGAGAATCTCACATGAGTGTGGCTTGTTCATGGGGGCTGCCAGCCAGCCCCTCATCCTCCCCAGGCCCCAACAGCCCACCCTGAACCAGAGCTCTGAGGGGGCTCTGCACAGGGCTGCCAAGGCAGATTCCTTGTCACATTTAAGCCAAGGGGAAATGGCAAAGATGTGGCTCAGAGGGAGCTTCAGGAAAATCAGAGAGTAATTCCAGGGAATAAATACATTACAAAGGACAAGGAAGGACACCTCTGCATGTATGCCAGCTCTGCCATAGCGTGGTGGCTGCTGAGTCCAGAGACACTGGATTAGCCAAGGACATATGACCTTTCAGGTGTTGGACTGTAAAGATCTTTCCATTAATGACACCAAGCACTGAATGCTTTGGATGTTTTCCCTGCCCTGGAAAGATTTACTCACAGTTCCAATCAAGCACTGGGACTCCCGTGCTGCTCCACAGCACCCGAAAAATCCAACTGCTGCCATGATGGCCCCTGCTCCCACCAGCACATAGAGTCCTGTGGAAAGCAGAGCCAGCAACAATTTCAGAAAGTTTCTCTCCCCAAAGTCTGCTACCTATTTCATCAGCCCCACTCACTTACAGGTATAACAAAGTCTCTGACTTTCACAAAACTGGTTGCACAGAAAAGATTCTCTGGCCACAGGGGGAGAGCAATACTTTCTTCAGAATTCTTGCAGAATTAAATAAGACAATTTGAGATTAGCTCAGCTGGTTAGAGCATGGTGCTAAAAACAGCAACTTTGCAGGTTTCATTCCTGGATGGGCCATTCACTTAGGAGTTGGACCTGATGATCCTTGTTGGTCCATCCCTTCCAACTGAGAATATTCTGTGATAAGAATCTGTGACTTTCACCTTCCTAGTTTGCTGTCCCAGGGACAGTTCAGTGCAGGAAGAACAAACCCCATACCATCCAGAACCCCTCACACCTCTGCAATAAACAATGTAAAGCAGAAAAGCCCGGCTTTGCCAGAGGGCTTATTCCTGGGAAACCTGGGGCGGGAAATGGGGGAACTGAAAGGAAGATGGGAGATGGCAGCATACAGATCTAGGACCCCAAATGAAAGCTGACACTCTTATTCAACAGGTGTTTTGGTTTTGGTTTTATTTTTTGTATGGGCTTTATCTAGGACAAAAGGAAATCAGAGTACAGAGTTTTTCTTTCCTCACTCGTGAATGTACATTTTTTGATCTGTGCTTAGGTAACACTTGGGTTCCTGTGGGGATCAGCTCCCACCAGGCCACAACCACGGGGCTGTGCCTTGGCTCTGGTACTGTTGGTGTAATTCTAGTCCTTGTCCTGTGCAGGATGCTGTGCCAAGCCACTGCTGGGGAAAAGAGCTTCATCTTCCTTCCCCTCGTGTCCTTCTGGGGAGGGACGGGAGCTGCAGGCAGAGCGCACTAGAGGGCACAGCGAGCCTTGCTCCAGCCGGGACTGCCCAAGCTTCCACTGAGAGCCTTTAGTCTGCTCAGTTACCACTGTAAACATTAATATAAAATCCAATCCAGGGTGAGCACAGCTGCTGGCATTTGCTGTTAGCAGGCCTTGTGTGACCTGACTAGAAAATCCTACAGATGACAGTTTGCAATTGCTAGGAAAATGTAAAACCAGTCAGTGTTTGAGTGCAGAGCTTCCATCCAGCTGCTCTGCCTCACTGCAGCCTGTTCAGGGAAAGCCAGCTCCTGCCTGCTGCCCATTCACCGCCACATCAGCCTCCAGTCCCTGTGTCTATCCCAGTTATGTGATCCTTGTCCTCCCCTCCCTCCTCCTGCCCCGGTTCCTGCTGAGAGACACACTCTGATAAACAGCAATAAAACAAGGAATATGGCTTTGCCCTACTAATTGTAATATACACAGTGATGGGAGGATTCTGCTTGCTGCCTGTGTTGGCAGTTCTTATTCCGTGTTTTCTGGATTTTTAATACTCAGCCACCTGTGACTTCCTGGGACTGAGCATTCTTCAGGCTGTACTTGTACACAGATGCACAGCACTGGTTTTTACTGGCGTACAAAGATATTTACGGCTCAGGGGAGAAAGGTCAGCCAGGCCTGGTGGAAGATGAATCGGAAAAGACAAAAAACCCTCGCTCAGGTGCAGAACCTGGTGCTCACCAGGCAAACACCAACGCTGCCATTTCCTGGGATCTCCATGGTAACAAACGGTGTAATTACAAAGATGTTTCCTGCACGTATTCAGTGTGTCCCTCCCTGCTCCCTCCCTGCACTTATCAGCCACTTAGCAAAGATAAATTGGAGTAAGGACACGGGAAAGGAGTCTTCCCATTTCTTTTGGTTATTTGCAGCTAGGAAAGACAAAGCTCGGTGAGTCTAGGGCTGAGACCACTCTCAGGAATTTGGATTTGCATTTGACAGAGAAACAGCCTGAGCATTTCACTCGAATGACTCAGAGCTAAACCACTACCTCAGTGAGAACTTCCCTTTTAAGGCGTGTTACAGGAAGAGCTCACAACACTCACTAAACAAAGCTGAGCCCCAAGCTGAGCCAGCCAGGAGTTAAAATCCACCTTCCTCCATCTTCTGCTCAGGAAAGTTCATCCCGCTTTGTCCTTTCTCAGCCTGGGACTGCCACTCGGTGATACCCAGCTATTTCTAGATGGAAAATAATGTTGACACTTAAAATTTCCACAAAAATCATGATATTTTTACTTTTCTATTATATATACACACATATGTAATCTTTCATACAGGAACGTAACTTGTGATTTTGGGGTTGTCCTGAGGCCAGGACTTGGCCTTGGTTGATCCTTGTGGATCCCTTCCAATTCTGAATATTCCAGTAGCTTGAAAAAAGTTAAAGGGGCCAAGTTACTGAGAGGTTTCCCAGCAGCCACATCCAGGGATGCTCAGTGGAAGGTGACTTCCAGGAAGGATGTCTGCCAGAGATGGAAATGTTATAATTTATGGCTTAAACATCTTCATGAGGGACTTTTGCCTCTTGTAGCAAAACTGTATTACAAAAGCTGCAGAGAAGACCATCACATCCTGACTGAGGCCCCACCTAACCCCTCTGTGCCCCCCCCTTTTCTTTTTCTTTCTTTTTTTCCTCTTTGCCTCTTTTACTATTAAAAAAAATATATCAATTTCTTGGCACTAGCATCTACCCTCATTTGGTTTTAATAATATTTTTGGGTAGATTTGAACATTTCTTGGTTTGATCAGTTTTGTTCACAGACTTCATTTTCTTTGTGTTTAAACTGGTTTGTAACAACATCAAAGCTGTAGATGCAGAAATATCCTGGATGATGTAAGTATGTAAGAAGGATCTGGTATTTCTTTTCCTAGAGGGTTGTACACAGCAATGCAGGCATGTTCACCTCAAATTCTTGATAAGAACAGACCTAAATTTAAAGTGAGACTCTCCAGAGAAAGAAAAACAAGCAAAGGGTGGCAATGTCTGGCACACAGACCTTGGAATCCCAGCTTTAACTAAAGCCACCAAGCACTGAGAGCTGTCAGGGCCAGCAGTGCAAATCCAGATTTTGGTGGTTGATATCACACCTTTCCTTGCAATAGTAACCAGTGCCAGAAGTAGCTCAGCCTCACTAAAACCCATCCCTTCCTAAAAAGCAGGATGGAAAGCCTTAATCAGCTTCTATTCATCAGCATTTCCATTGTAAAACACAAAGCCTTGGCAAGGCCTCCAGCTTGGCATCTACAGCACAGCAGGGAAACAAATAAAAGTCAGTTTATAGACACAGAACAGAACAGGTTTGAGAGCTACAAACTGACACAGAAAATTCACTGCAAAGCTCAACATGGCAGAAAGAAGTGTGGGAGTCAGGTCAGGACAGAGAGCTTGTTTGGGTGAGTGGAAAATGATGAGGAGACTCCCCAGCTGCAGCTTTTTGTGCAGCAGAAGGAAAAAAGCACAAGGTGGAAAGGAAGCAAAGGTTTGTGGCCTTTGTGAATTCTTTCCTTTCACCTCTTGTTGCCTCTGTTGATTTCCTGCAGTTCTGCTCTTTGGTCTGTGTGTGCTCATGGAGAGGAGAGGGCTGGCACCTAACTGAGAGCAGGGAATGCAGAGAGCAGGAATGTGGCCCCAGAGACAGAGCTCTGCCATCTGGGATTGCAGAATATTGGAATATTTACTACTCCTGCATTTAGGACCCACAAACAAGTCACTGTCAGCCCCTGAATGCAAATGGAGGAAGAGGCACATTCCAAAGATGAAAATCCATGTGCAAATCTGACAGAAAATTGGTTGATTCAGGCAGCCACAGGCACTGATTACTGAGGGGTTCTGGAGGAAATAGGGGCTTCTTTATAACCACAAGAGGATGAAAAACAACGTGTCACAGGACTGGGGATTTTTGAACAGAGCCTATTCTCTTAATTTTTTTTTTAATGAGGAAATATTGAGGTTTTGGGGTGTGGTTTGTTTCTTTTGCTGCGCTGACCTCCCCCACCCCCCAGTTTTTTTACAGATGTGAAGAGAAATGAAGACTTCTCCTTTTAGCAGTGAGTCAAGTGAGAGAACACCTGATAACACAACTTGCTTTCCCTTCTGGCTGTAATGTACTGAGTGTAAGAGGGAAACCCCCTTCTTCTGCCATTGTTTTATTTTGCAAAGACAAATTTGGAAAGCCATAAAGCAGCAGCTTTTCTGTATATTTGATTTTTTTGATTCATCCCATGGGGAAAATCATTCTTTCCTGAAAGGAAATTGTCAGATGGGGGTATTCCCTGTGAAAATTCCAACAGGAGGGATTCCCATTTTCTAGCAGACCCTGCTTTGCAATTACAAGGGGAATTAAAATGTTATCTGGCAGCCTCAGAGCATCCTGTGGCTCCCAGTGGTGAAAAATGGCAAATCCACAAGTCAGCAGATCTCTGGATCAGCCTCAGTGCTCTCAGCTCTCCCTGTGTCCTCTGGAGACAAGGACACATCCATTCCTGGGCTGCACATGGAGACAGATCTGCAAGTCTGAAAAAGCACCTTCAAAAGGACCAAGGGATTCTGGGTGTTGTTTCTGAGTGTACAAACCCTCTGTGATTAGCAGTGATACAGAATTCCATCTTTAGACCAGCTAGAAGAGAAGGATGGAATTTTATAGCTGCAATATATTTTTATGTGTATCAAGAGTGAGGGAAGGATCAGCCTGGGATGGGAGAGATGTAATTTCAGACTCTGGAACAGAACCCACTCCCACAGCTACTTTTGTTTGTTTGTTTGTTTTTCCCCAAGTCTTACTGAAGGTTTGAGGCACAAATCCCTGCCAAAGAGCAGGAGCAGACAAACACACCCTGTCTCTGTCTGGCTTTATTTCACATGGGTTTCTTGTTTACCTGGCTGCTATGGGCACTTTCCATTTGAAATAATTCTCTTTTTTTTTTTTTTCCTCTCTTTTGGGCTGAGTAAATAACACTGAACAAATCCCCAACTGTTCCTACTCCACAGAGAGAACAAGCAGCTCTGTTCTGGGGGTGAGGGACCCAGCAGCAGCAACAGCAGAGCCCGGGACCCAGATAGGGCTTG